GTACGTACTACTACTACTATACTACTATATATATATATATATATATATATATATATATGACTTTAAATGTGTTTTTTTTATAGATTTTTTGGCACTGTCTATATTTGATTTGATCCCGTGTGCTTAACACAAGTCCATCTTAAAGATGGATGTTGAAGAGTGAGCAGGCTCTTGCACCCGTTGACTCATAGAACACTTTTCCTTAAGTGAAGGATTGAAGTTCATGAGTTGTTTTCCATTTTTGTATGGTCCTTTGTGGCACGGTTTTATCGAATAATGTATTCCACGACAAATACATAATATATATATGAAGCTAATGGTGGTGATTCTGCAGGGAGTCGAGCAACAATTCGTCAATTGATAATGCCTCATTTTATTTATTTATTTTTGTAAGTTAATTTACGATGCCTCCCCACGTTACGGGACTTACACATGTGTTAATATCAACGTGAGTGTCAAAAATACTAATTTGTAGGCCTAGTAACAGACAAGGACCCTACAGGGGCCACAACAACATCTCTCCTTGGTCTGTATGCACATCCTCACTTTGTTCAACTTGACCAACCTCCTCATCATACAATAGCTCTCCCCAATCAGCAGCTATTACCTCTTCTGTCTCACTGCCTTCCTCATAGCATATTATTGACAAGAAAAGCATATTATTGTGCAGCAGCCTTTGAGCATTATGCTCACCTCATTCCATCGAAGACACCGAACACGGGATTGCTCATTGACTCGAGCATGTGATTGAGTATTGAGCGCATGAGCAGTCCCCGTTAGATCACCCAAAGCTCTCTCCCTACTTCGGCCAGCAACTCTCCGGTTAGTGGCACCACCCTCTTAGTTTGTGATGTCTCACACTTTGACCTCCAACCAATGCCTCTTCTACATTACAAGCTGAAAAAAGGCAACACCCCTTTTTTCAGTTTGTAATACAGATGTGCTACTTCCCATTGGGACATGTGTTGCAAGGAAAGTTCGTCTCAAAGTTTAAGTTCTAACCTTTGAACTTACCTTGTGACCCTGGTGGTAAGGGATCTTTGTATACTCACCAATGGACCTCAAACCTTGTTGCAATTGATAGAGTTGTTTTGTTGCAATTGATAGAGTTGTTTGTGCATAGTTTGCACAAAGCTTGGAGGAAGATATTGCTCACATGACTTAGCCCGCATTTTTGTTCATGTTCGAATCTTATCTTTCCCTGAAGCAACCTTGCCTCTTAAACTTGATCCCACCAAATGGATGCAAGTCGATGAAAATTTGATTGCAATTAGCTCTACTTTCTTTTGAACCAACAACTCCTTCCATTCAAATAATCACTCCAGTGCACTTTGCCTCCAAAAAGTATTCAGGAGAAAGGTTACATAAAAATTCAAGTAGGTCCGCTTTTATTTTTGTATCAAAAGTAGATGGTCTCTTTGTATTTTTTTCAGTATATAAATCATCTAGTTTCAAAATATTTAAGTGGGTTTAGACATGCTTGAACCACCGCTTTAAATCTCACAACTAGGGTTTGAAAAAGGGCGTGGTTTGTATAAAGTTGAGGCTCTAAACAATAAAAAAAAGTTAAAAGTGTCTGAAGATGTTTTAGTACTGAAATTTTTTGTGATGGACTAAAAACTTATTTTCATATCTAATTATAAAATTCAAAGCTTCAAGAATAGTGTAGATCCATATCGATCAATATTTAAATTTTTAAAAAACTGACGGTCCAAAAAATGTATTACAGGGCCCCAATTTTTAAGACTTGAAATCTATTTTTTCTCATGTCTATACCTCTTGAGGTCGAGATGATCAATTTGAGTATTTTTAAGCCTCGAAACAACGTCTTGTAGTGAATTTTTGAAAAGCACGTCAGTTTGATTATTTGGGCCCTCGCCCTTGTATAAATGTTTTCCTTTGAAGATTTTGAGGCCTTTCTAGAATGTTCCGACCGCAAAACTATAGTCGATTAAACCCAAAAAAATACCGCAGTTACGCCTTGACTGTAGATATCACCTCTTTTTTATTATTATTATTATTATTATTATTATTTTTTTTAATAATTCACGGTATGCTTGACACATTGAGTGTTTAGGAGCGGAAGGGACTGTCCCATAAATTATGGAAAAATGCTCTTTTAACATTTTTTATGGAAGATAAGTCTTTCAAAAAATGAGCCCATTTTAATACTAAAAAAAAAATGCTGCATGGAAAGGTCGCCCTTCGACCTTGCAGCTTCCCCACCATAATATCAAACATGGAAATGGGAAATTTAACTCCCACCATAAACTTCCACTTATCAAACACGCCCTCAGCGATTTAGTGGGGAAGACGGGCCCTACCCGTTTTTTGTGCACTTGGTCGCTCCATCAGAGAGCTCCACCGGCGCTGAATCAGTGAGTTTTTTTTACCGGTTTTACTGTTTATTAAGCAGATAAACCCACTGTTAATTTGTATTATTTTCTGTTAACTGTTAATTTGTAACTCACTGATAAACCTGCAAAATTAATTTGTATTATTTTCTTCGTCTTTTTTTCTGGTTATTCTCAATGTAGGGATTTATGTTAATGATTAGGGGTTTATTGCTCTGTTCTTCGATTGTTTTGGGTCAACACTTATGATTGGCGATTTATTCAACGATTTTTGGTGAAAAGAGCTCTATTTTGAACAAATCCGCCTAAACGTGGATTTCTTTCTCGTTTTGCATTCAAATCCATTGAAATCTGGTGCGACTTTTTCTCGATTCATCCCTTCACATGATCCCTACAATCAATTTTTCTATTTTTCAGTATTTTACTTTCAATATTTTTTGTTCTTTTTTGCCCTGTTCTTCTTCTTCTTCTTTTCTTTTTTTTTTCTTTTTTCTTTTTATAGCTAATATCACCATTGATGTAAATATCTCTGTTAATCTCGAACTGCCCCTGTTTTCCATTTTTGGGTATGTTTTGTTTTTTTTTCTGATGTTTGTGTTGTTTTTTTTATTTGTGCTCCTTATTTGTTATGGCGTGATAAATGTGCTCAAGCACTTCTTAATTTGCTTTTGAATGGACCTATAAATTAGGGTTTAATTCTATGGTGTATCTACACCATCATTTGTATATCTCTTGCTTAAAGGTCTTGACAAAATTGCAGTGCAGGAGTAGCACCAGTATGTTTTTTAGGGTTTTCTTATGCTTCTTCATTATTGCAATCTCTCTATATCTCCAATATTGCAAAAATTGCAGTGAAGGATTGGCCTCTGTCTCTGTCTCACATTTTCAGTTTGTAGCTTACTAATTTCTGGGTTTGATAGTCGTTGAATAATCTCCCTTCCCCAGCTTAGTTTTCACAATGTAGTCTCTCTCTTGTCACATTAACTGTCAAGTGCACCATTTTTTTAACTGATTTATTGAACTTCTAGTCTTTTTATGGCTTGATAACGTTCTATACAAATAAACTGTGTTCCCTGCATCACTGTTGTATTACACTTCTAGGCAATTTTTTTCAAGTATCTAGTGCCTCATGGTTATGAGGTTTGGGAGTTGTTTGTCCTTTTTTATGTATTGCCTCATGGTTATGTACATTTAGGTGCCATTAAAAAATGTCATTGGCCTCATCAAATAATGGAGGATTACCTCGACATTCATGTCCTACTAGGTCAATAGGTCCATATAAAATGTATTTGAAGTAATTAGGAGAAACTTACCTACTAGGTCAGTAGGTCCATTAAGGGGAAGGTGAAGTTATCAAGTGAGATGTTTTCATGTAACGTTTGGGTGTAGAGGGAGAGCGCATTAGATGGGAATGGACTTGATGACAATATTCTTCAATATTTATGTAAATATTGGTATTCCTTCAATTTATTTGTATTTTTGGTAATATGTTGGATGAATGGAAGGAACTTTATTTAATTACAAAATATTTTTTAAAATTGCATTTAGCACATCATATCAATGAAATACATAATGGGGAGTATTACATGGAGTTTCCAACTTTCCCATTGACAAACAAGTGAAATTACCATCACCACATTTTATGGTTTTCAGCCTTCACCCTACGAATTTTCACCTGCATCCCAGAATCTAGGAAGTCAGCAGCGGGGGTGATCGTTTAAGGCTGACACCTTCGGCAAACTACCTTTCAGAATTAGGATTTCACTGGTGGAAAAGCACAAAGATCATTGAACTCTGGTCACTAACCCTAAAACCTGGTATTTTCTTTGCTGGGATCCTTCATCGTAGGTCTGTCAATGTAATGGATGTTTCTTACAGGTCTGTTTCGAATAAGATTTGAGGTTCAATTAACATAAAAGATTAGTGTTTTTGCTGTGAAGAGTTTACCATTTTTGAAGGCGGAATTGTATTTTTTTTTGTAGAATGAGTTCATATATAAGACACAGTTTGAGGGATTCTGAAATCAGCTTTTGTTAAATTGGAATAAGGCTTCTCTGGTGAATGAATGGGAAGGGATTTTTTTCTCATTTCTTAAGTAGTTAACTAAGTGGATTTTTCCGAGATTGAATGAGAACTAAGGTTATGCTTCGTTTTAGTTTGAGTTCTGCAAAATTTTAGAATATTTGGATTTATTCGATGCTGAGGGTAACCCTGTGATGTTGAATCTGGTCCGTTCATCTAATTGTCTCATTACCAGGTTTATGTGTTTATATAAGGCTACAAATCCGGCTCTTAGAATCTACGGTTTTTTCAGTGTTGGTAGTTCAAAGCAACTCATGCTCTTGTTCAGGAAACCCTAAAAAATGGTACGATGTCCTCATGGGCTTAAAGCCTGTGTTTTTATATGGAGTTTCATGGCAAATAATTTTTTTGTTAATTTCATTTTATGACCAGTAATATGTTAGTTTGTGTTGCTTTTGCTTTGCCATGGACTACGCTAGGTATTCTGGACTGATAAATCTATTATTAGTAACTTCGTGGCCGATATATCTTGAATTGTATAGCTATTAGACGATATAGTCTTTATCTATTTCATAGTTAAGGTTTGGGTTTATTACACGTTGAGTGAGTGACATTAGGGTTTCTTCTATTGAATGAATCAATGTTGTTAGAACTGGATTGGTGAGCACGAGTTCGATTGATAAAAAGAGTAAAATAAGTCTTGAGAACAAAGAAAATGGTAGACGAATGGAGGAAAAGCATTGTGATACCTGTTTTCAATAACAAAGGAGACACAAAATTGTGCGAACTATCGAGGGATCAAACTTATGAGCCACTCTATGAAGTTGAAGGAGAGAGTAATTGACCAACGATTAAGGCATGAAACAAGTGTATCAAAAAATTATTTCGACTTTATGCCAAGGAGGTCAATAATTGAGGCTGTTTTCCTACTTAGATAACTTATTGAGAAGTTTAGGGGGAAGGGAAAGGACCTCTACGTGGTCTTTATTGATCTAGAGAAAGCTTATGAAAGAGTACCACGAGGTTTAATTTAGTAGGTATTGGAAAAGAATAGAGTCTCCAGATACTGTATCGACTTGGTAAGAGATATGTACAAGGGAGTGCTAACTAGTGTGTAGACAACTAGTAGAGAGACGAGTGTGTTTTTAGTGACAATAGGTCTCCATCAGGGGTCAGCGTTAAGTCCATACCTTTTTGTCTTAGTTTTGGCCAACTTAACTGGGCACCTACAAGATGAGGTATTGTGGTGTATGTTGTTCGCATAAGACATAATTTTGATTGACGTGACCCGAAGCAGCGTCAACACAAAGCTAGAACTTTGAAGGGATGCTCTAGGATTTGAAGGTTTTAAATTAGCCATACTTATACGGAATACAAATTTAATAATAATCGGAGCAGAGACGAGAAATTAGTTAAAATTGTCAACTAAGAAATACCAAAAAGGGCACATTTTTTATATTTTGGGTCGATAATCCAGAAAAATGGAGAGATTGAGGACAAATGCCGCACATAGAATTAGAGCTGGGTAGGGAAGTGGAGATGTGCGACCGGAGTTTTATGTGATTACCGCATACCAATGAAGCTGAAGGGAAAGTTCTGTAGGATAGTTGTGAGACCAAATTTGCTTTGTGGCGCAGATTGTTGGGCAGTCAATGAACAACATACCCATAGGATGAGTGTAGTTAAGATGAAGATATTGAATTGGATGAGTGGCATGACGAGAAGGGATAGATTTCGAAATAAATGAATTATGGAGAACTTTGGTGTGGCTCCAACAGGTAATAAGATGAGAGAAAGTAGACTTAGGTGGGTTGGGCATGTGTAGTGTAGACCCAGTATGGCACTTGTTGGGAGGCATGAGTTAGTTCAATTGGAAGGCTCAAAGTGGGCAAGGGGTAGGCCCAAATGGATATGGTTGGAAGTAGTAAGATAAGATATGGGGACTTATGACCTTGCTGAGGGTATCGTCCTTGATAGAGCAGAATGGCAGACCGGGCTTTATACAACGGATTCCAAAAGTTGGGAAAAGGTTCTGATGATGATGATGATTATTATTATTTTTATTATATAAGTTAGGGCTAGTTTGGATGTACCCAAAATTGGAATATTTTTGGATTGCAATCCAAAAATCTTGTGAAATGGACTTTGACCGTTTGGACAACTACACGATTTTGCTAGAATTTTAGCTTAGAAGGAAAAAAAATTTCGTGTCAAGGCAAAATTCACCATCCAAAACAATTCGAGTAGGACTTGAATTTTTTTTGATGGCATTGTTCTTCATCTCCTTCTGCGCCTCTTATACTCTCTCTCGCCTCACTCTCTCTCAACCCTCTCTGCTCTACCTCCCTATAGTCTCTCTGCTCTATCTCTCCTCTCTGCTCTATCTCGCCTCTCTGCTCTCAGTGACAAAGCCTTGTATCTCTCTCAGTGACAAAGCCCTCTTTCTCTCTAGTTTTTGTGTTGAACGAGAGACGAAACTTGAGAGAGAGAGAGAGAGAGAGAGAGAGAGAGAGAGAGAGAGAGAGAGAGAGAGAGAGA